TATAGACCTTTAATAATGCTATTGTAGGAAGAGCTTTTACAATTTCCAACACTTTAGAGTTAACATTGAAAATCAGACCTATATCATTTTTATAAATGTATTTCACTCTATTTTTACAAGTCATTTAAAGAAAACAATTGGTGCCACTTTTGAGAAAATTTTGGAAATGTCCCTGGGGTTTCACATAAAATACCCCCAAAAAGGGACGATTTTTTTTCAAAGTCGCAGGGTTTTCAGATGGGAAATTCAACTGGGGAATATTCAAAAAATAATACGAATAGTTTTGAGGCCAATGTTCACGGACAAACGGATAGATAACAGATAGATAGGCGCGTTTGGATAAGAACACTTTTTCGGCATCGGGGAACCCCAAACGGTTATTTCCGTTAAAATCTCGAAATCGATTTTCCGCAGCATTTTATAAATTGCTGTATACTAGTATATTCGTACGTATATGAGAAAGTAAAAGCACCCAAGGTAGAAATGAGTGAGGCCAGTCGTTTTGATGATACTGTAATTCAAAGAACACCTAGTGCCTTCCAGCAAATCCTTGAGGCAAAGCTAAACCTTGTGCGAAAAGCAGGCGAGCGCCGCTCGGGGAAGCACCGGGTGCTGGAACGAGTCTTGGAGGAGCGTGACGCGCGGGCCGAGCGGCAACCAGCACACTCCAGCGGATTCCAGAGCTTTCCGACTGCATGCACCAGAAGGAATTTGCAAATTTCATAGGAGAGGAAAATCTCAAAAGAACGCATTAACTTACTACACCTTTGTAAATAAATAAAAAATGTATATTACAAAATGTTGCTGTTAAATTTCTGTTGTTTTTTTTGCGCCATAATCAAATTAAATATATATTCAAAAGCTTTTGAAATATGCATATAGAAATACATTTAAGAAGATGATTGATGACTTTTCGCACAAATTCTTTCTTTTAACATTATCTCCGAACAGAGGAAAATATATTACATCCTAATTCAATAGAGTAGTGCTTGTACCCAAGTGAGGTGCCAGTGAATGATAGCCGGTGAAATTCACCGAGTGGGAAAGGTAATTTCATTTCAGTATGTTTTATTTAATAAACACTACCAAGAAACCCACATCCAACGTCATGAGAGGCAGAATTTATAAAATTATCCACAGACGCGTTCGTTGAGGTTAGGGTATGGTCAGTCAGTGTCAGTGGCGACAGCGATCGCAGTAAAGGGAGCGAGCGTGTGCGATGGCCGTGCAATCGAGTAGTAACCAACCGGTAGGAGAAAGCGCTCGAGCTAAGGTAGCATCTAACAGCAGCGATTGTTCTTCCACAGCAAACATAGCTCTAGAAGCGATTCCTGCCACGAGAGCAGCAATTGTATTTGACGGAAGTTCGATAGTGCCCGCAGGCACACTCTACGGGGGTCGATATTCCACTGAACAACGCGTCGCGACAACCGACGGGTAACTGCTACATCGTCTCATAAGATGCGCTTCAGAACTCGCATGTGTGGGTTTTCATTGATTCTAGGCGCGACCACAGTTGAGGTCGCTGGTCCCGTAAGGGTAATGCATGCTTTTGCCCCTCACCCCTTCTGAATGGCGAGATGCGGCAACGACCTACTAGATGGCTTGCGTGTTTTCCCTCAACCAGGTATCGCCCATTGGGATACCGCCTTACTCGGAACAAGCTTTAGCTCTCGACTGTTCTCCACGCATGCGTGGCAGTGCAGTGTATGCAAGTGTGTGTAAGGGATGATAATTGAACAAGCAAGATGAAGCAAAGATCGCGCGGTCCGTGGGCTGTTGAGTGCTCCGGCATTCGCCTGGTGTTGGTCGGAGAAACTACATCGATCACAGCAGTCGTTCGCTAGAATTATTCAGGCAGCGGCTCAATTCGTCCTTGCTATGTAGCTAGAATCGAACATTCTGCCACCGTCGGTTCTCGAACCGTAGGACTTCCCGGTGAAAGGCCCAGCAGTGACATCAATGATGCTCTGAGCCACCGAAGCCGGTAACCACCCCGAAGGGTCCACCATTTTACCCACAAGGGGAGGGGAGTACGAAAACGGACGTCGTAAAAGCAGAGACGCAACTTATCGCAGACTGAACAAAAACAGGACTGGCGGCGAGCCGTGTGGGGTAAAAGGTCTCGTCGCTTCTTACAACCCGAACGGTGGAATGGCCGCAGCTGCTCCGTCCCTCGGCCTCGACTATCATCCGACGTGTCGTTCTTGCAATTTCTCGGTCACGGGCTACGTCAAGGGTCGTGTGTATTCCGCCCAGCCGGACGACGTGCGCGACGTAGGCTACGCCGTCCTCCCCTCCGAAACATTGGGGCGTCATCGGTGGTTAACAACTTCCATGGTATAGCGGTTATAGCGTATCGGGAGGCGATAGCCAAGTTCTCAAACTCGATCGAAGCTGTGGATTCTTTACGGGAGTAAAAATCCTTCATACACCTTCCTTTGGAAGAGAAGTAAAGCCATCTGTCCCGAGTTGAAGATTTACTGTATGAAATGATTCCCAAGCCTCTGAGCTAAACTCAAATAGCCTGTTTCGTCGCCAGACTGATACCATTTTTCTTCGCTAGAAGGTGAAAGGAGCCTTCCAAATTTGCGTGGTCAGACGAAAGAGTAGGCTTCGTGTCGTGTGTCTCGCCACGTAAAATAAGGAATTATTGAATGAATTGCGGCGCGATATTCATTTTTATTTTGTGCTCTGAGAACTGATGGGGGCAGCACAGCTTTGCATAAGTCGTAAAAATAGCTGAGTTTTCTTTTCAGAGACTTGAGACTTCCGTCCGCAATCATTATGTCCTCCGCTCTACCGTGTGGTTAGGTTAATCGTCATTATTCGGGGTTATCATTCTCTAACACAGTCGCCGCAAGAAAAAAAATGACCGTTACCTTATCACTTGGTACGAAACCCTTTACCTTTGTCATTGCTCACTGCGCATTTGATTTCGAAAAGTGTGCTTCGTAGTTTTAGTTTTTTAGTTTTAGTTTTAGTTTTGAACTGCTGGTATTTGCGAAGTCTCTGTAGAAAAACTTCTTTTGACCAAACCAAACTTCACGTCAGCCGGCACTCGAACCCAAAATATTTGCTGAACATCACAAACAATACAGGACATTACCATGTTGTCGCTGTGAAAAATGAATAAATCTGAGCCCGAAGCACACAAGAAACCAACGTAACAAATTAGTAACTCAACCAAAGGAATGTTTGAGCGGCTGTACATACTAGCTTACGTTAGGCTACCCGGTGTTTTCAGGAGAGCAATACTATACTGCGATTTATCCAACTCTGCCCTTGGCAGGTATCAGCTGTTGACTGTTTCATCAACACAGGAGTGGCGTCACTACGGTGACGTTGAAGCTCCCGGTTGGATGAGACTGTCAACATCTGATACCTGCCAGGGCAGAGTTGGATAAATGGCTCTAAATGCGTAGATGCTACTACGCATACGCAGTGTCTACCTTCTCCCGCATTGGTTGTCGAGTGCAGAGACATCTCGCGCGAACTCTACCATTGCGGTGGCCGACAGCAGCGGCCATCGTACGTGAGGGCACGCGCCGCCGCCGCCGCGGGGGCTTTCCTTCCGCGCTGCCCGCCGCCGAGAAAGTGCGGCGGCGCGGGCGGCGCGGGGCATTTGGAAGGCCGCGCGCGAAGAGGCACGACGGCGACGGCGACGGCGACCGCGACCGCGACCCTGAGCCTCGGGTCAGGGGCAGGACCGCAGATTCCCATGTTAGGCTTTCCCCAGACGATGCGCGCGTTTGCTAGCGGCCTCACGAGTATTCAGTTTTTTGCATTTCACGACAGATAGACATTCCAAGAGATGGCTTGTCCACAGACATCTGAACGTTGACTTATGATACTCAGGTTATAATATTAATATTTTATTCAACTCAATGTGTGCGTGCGTGGTGTTCGTTCAGATCGAACATGGCCGATGACCTTAGCAGCGTACCACGCTCACAAAATGCCATTAACACAATGGCAAACACTGTGATCCATGGTTCTGCACACAGAAACCGATCGCTTAATTTTCCTTCAGTTTCCCTAAAGTTTCTCCTGGAACACCTGTATGTAATGCTCTTCATGAAGAGACATTTTCAAAATATGGCTAAATAATTAGTAAGATAGAACTTGCATTATTATATTTCTGAATGTTTACATATAATATGAAAAGTATGTATTGTTGTATCATTAGATAACCTGTTGACGTGTAAAAACATAGAAGTTGTTTTGAGAGAAGAAGCCGCCACTAATAATCACGCGAGAGGCCTCACCTTGTTCATGTCGAAATTCTGCTTCTTTCAAATCCTCAACCTTCAAACTCGGGTGAACAACGCATGTAGCCGCCACATTTCCTGGCGTCAAATGAGTGGAATTGTTTAACATTCGGGAGTTGTGACTGGACGTCAGAAAGGGTGGAAAGTAGAGAGAGTCCTTTGTGATACAGAAATCTTGCTCGCATGTAATAAAGTTTACGCAATCAATATTTTGCTGTTTAAAACCGCTAAATACAACTAACGTTTATATTTTTACATTTGTAATACGCTAAGACCAAATTATATGAAAAACATTTAATTTGTTAATGTTAAATATTTAATTTGTTGTTTCATTAGTCAGATGGTGTCCAACCAAGGTTTAATTTCACCAATTTTTGTTATTCATTCATAGTTTACAAGGTTTGATCTGCGTAATTTGTGATGTAATTTTTTTATTGATGTTGCATGGCAGACTAGAAATATCTTTGCCACATCTGTGTTATTGCGTCTTAATTAAACGATTTTTATCCTTTTTTAAATTCTGATTGTTCATTGTGGAGTTTTACCCGCACGGTGGAGTTTTAATTGCTGACGAGCAAATAATATTATTCGTAATCGATTAATAATCATTCGCAAATAAAATCTTATTTTAATTCACCGTATCGTACAGGGTTATTGGTTCGTTTTTATTCCTTTGCTCGCCTTGTTTGGCTGTCCTCTTCATGGCGCTTGGCGCTTGGTGCGTTTCAGCTGTTCGACCGCATGAAGGAGGAAGTGCCCAAGTGGCGGCACAAGGTGCGCGCGGTGCCCGGCGACTGCGCCGAGCCAGGCCTCGGGCTGAGCGCCGCCGACCGCGAGATGCTCGCTCGCGACGTCACCGTCCTCTTCCACGGCGCCGCCACCGTGCGCTTCGACGAGAAGCTCAAGAAGGCCGTCTCCATCAACGTGGTCGGCACCAAGCAGATCTTGGAGCTGGCGCGCCAGATGCCCAAGCTCAAGGTGAGGCCGCCCGGCCGACGCAGCGCTTCCTTCAATAAAATCAATTCAAGCTCTGAGCTTTGTACCTATCTACAAATAGATACCGTGCTACAATATGTAAAAAGTAGCAAATCATTTCTATTCTTCCCTTCACTCATCTCACCCGCTCTAAAATTCCACCAAGGCCGAACAGCAAACATCCCAAGTCGAATGCAATTTAAATTTCCCAAAGATATACTTAAACCTCCCTAAACTAATAATATCTTCCCGTATCTCTGTAGAATATTTCCCGTTTCCCTTCCTAATGTTCGATAGAGCAATCCTAACAGTTTATCCTCAAAAATAAAGATTAAAATTCAGTAGCATCTAGATGTCAACGAACGAATTAAATGAGCCAGATTATTTAACCTCAATTTGTCATGGAATGCCCAAATCCCAAAAAAAGTCAGCATGTGAAACTGAAATCCCTTGAAAGACCATAGGTCGAACGAGACGACATAATTTTTTTTAAGTTAATAAAAGATAAATTGACCCATTGACCAATGCACTGTGCAAATTTCGCATTGTGTTCAATGGTTCGCACTGTGTAAATTTGTTTTAAGCAAAATTAAGCGAAAATTGCTAATACTTTCAAAACATTGTACATTATCATAGTTACGGACGTATTTGAGTAAACCAATTTTTCGGTATCAGGAACGAGGATTTCGACTAAACAGCTTGTTAGTGGAAGTAACAGAAATGAGATTTAACTTCTTTTTAGGTATCAGGGCTTTTGGAGGAAAGATTGCCCTTTTTCCATGTCTCTTACAACACTTTCTCTTCACTACGTAAGTACGTAGTAGGCGTAGCACGGCGTAGCCTTTTTTTTCTTAGTTCTGTTTTAATGCACACCAGGGATGTTCCCTATTCAGCAGTTACATTTATGGGATTGAGAGTTGATATTGGCGTGTAAATCTTACGACACTGATATTTACTCTGCATTATTCGTATTATGCATAGAAAGAAAAATGATGGTATAACTTATGTCAATAAGGTTCCTAATATTCAGCGCAATTCTTGAAATTAGGTTGAAATAAAAAACTTCATGTTCTCGCAGCAAAGCATATTTTGTCCACTTCGGAAATGTCTTCTTCACAATACATTAATAGTTTTCTTGAACTCGTTATGAATCCAGAGTATTCTTGAGATTAGGTCTCGCCGAAACGCTATTTTCTCTCGGTAGTAATTTTCTTATTATTTTATTAACTTATCTCTTGGGCCAATACAGTTGAATTTGTAAGTCTTACGAAATCATATAGCATATATGTTGCCACAAATTCAGCAGAAATAGATCGTGAAAGAATTACAGTTAAATCGTTCTTAAAAATGTCGAATTTACAAAATAACGGCAACACTTGTCATGTTAAAGGATTTTCCATTGCAGTTATATCATTACGACTCACTAAAACCCCACCTCAATGTTTAAACTAAAGAATTCTAAATAAATTGTAGTTTGTGTGTTTCAAAATTAAATTAGAAGTCGTGGTCTGAATCTTACCCAAATATTCAAAAAAGTAATGCGAGTGATTCGTATACGTTTATGCATGTACTTTGAAATTAACACACCTTACACGAAACGTGGTTTTTAGTGCTTGATTTCCGTGTGCGAAACAGCTAATTTTTCACAGTGTGCAAAACATATGTAACAATTCGCAATTGTCTTTCATCTTGACGTCTTTGTTTATTATTTACAAAACTAGTGTTACTAACTAAAACCCATTTACTTTTGTATAAATAAGGTATTTCTAGTTATTTTATATTTAATTCATGTTCATTTACTTTACACACTGCGCTTCACTCAAAGCGTGTTCAAAAATAGTACGCGCAACCCGGACGAGAGGTGAATCCTGTTCTCATCTCATTGTCGTCCTCTCTACGCTCGGACGACAAACTCGACAGTGCGAAAATCACCTGTTTCGCGCCCTTATTACGTAAACTACAATTATAATATTATTAATTAATATTAATCTACATTACATCGATTTGTATGCCTAGCATAACTAATCGAAATGTACACAATTACCACTCGGAGAGGGAAGTGTCACATCTCAGTCAGGCATTTCTGTATGATGAAAACGTTAATTCTGCTCTGCAAGATAAAATCAAAGATAATTTTAATCACACTCTAGTTGACTGGAGCCTCGGAACATCCTCGAGAATCATTAACAAGCACCGATTAAGCCTTCAAATGAAATAATAAAAACTACAAAATTTGTTTAGTCGCTCACTTTCGACCGGCTTGGTAGTTTCGGGTTGTTACAAACAGAGTTGGGGAAAGCAATATCCGAGCGCCGTCCGAAGAGTGGTTCTGAAAAAGTGTTTATGTTTCTCCGTTGTGTTGGTGTCATTCTTTCGTTATATAATTAAAAACTGATTATAAGGGAGAATATCATTTGAATAAGAATTTGTAGAACAACTGTCTAAATCTTGAAGGAAATGTAATAAGTGATGCTAATTAATTTTCCTCGGAACAAAAACTTATCATTTCCGAATTTCTCTCGTTTTTGTCCTGCCTCTCTTGGCAACTGGCCAGCTCTTATCAACGTCCGGGACGAACAGACATTTTGACAAAAATAACGCTTTTGTTTTCAGAAACCTCAAAGTCTCGATTTTTTACAGCATAGCAAATCCTTTCTCTGCACGACTCATACGATATTGTAAAAAAAACTTGAATACTAATCATAAAAGCATGTTACTTCCATGAACTTATATTCATTTTATTGTACTATATTGATAGTTTGGAAATATGTTCCATTCGCGTATATTGTGACGCCAGTATTAGAAAATAGTCAATATGAAAATAGATATTTAATCGTTCAGAACTTTTTTTTTAAATTTCAAGGTAATTTCATTCATAATTTGCCATCACTTCATATATCGAGTTAAAATTAATTTCTCAAGCCCCATGCTTTGCTATTCATCCGACTACAATGCCATTTTTCTTCACTTTCCAAGACATTACAAACCGTGGTTTGTTACCAGCTTGCCAGTTTGCCAGTTTGTTCGTATCCTTGCTACCAGCGCAATTGCTATCACCACCACCTAGGAACGTTATAAAAATAAAGGTAAACCGAAGTTTACTCCAGAACACAGACCATTTTCTTCGTGTATCATCTAATTCTCTATTGATATTCCAATACATAAAATTCTGAATTTATTAAAAATATTTACTATAATGAAACGATGTCAAAGGTAAATATAATTATATTCTGGCGACAGAGCTATATTGTTAAAATGGTACAGATAATACTGGAAACTTGCTTGAATTCATTTGAGTGAAGATTAGATACCATTTCATTCATTTTCCTCCCGAAAACTCCGTATTCCCCGTCACGCATGCTTATTATTCGTGCAAACTTCTCAAATGTTCTTGAGAAGTAACTAGACTAGCCAAGGATCGTGCACCTGTCTCACTTTATATCTCAACACAACACCTGAACAAATTGTTAATAAGTCATTTCGGAAGCGTATTTACTCAATCACGAAGGTTTGCAAGCACGTTGAAGGTAAAAGTTTTTCGATGTACACGCAGGTAGCAAATAGTCTGTGTACCGCAGATTTGACTCAGACTTTTGGAGAGCATTTTCGTCATCAGAAGCACCAGTTATTTTGAGTTAATCCCTTGGACTTTTGGAGTTTTATTCTTGAGCTGATATTTTAACCCAATTATCTCAACATTTAAAGTAAGGTGGTTTTCCTATTGTTGTACTCAGAGATACTTGCTCTAAATATCATAGCCTTTCTTCCTAGACAGATAATAACGTTTGTGATTTAAAGATTCTAAAATGTTTACTGCACTTATTTGTGCATGTGTTAGCAGTTAAATGCAGATATATTTTAGTACTATTCGGAGTGAGTAATAAATAAGGAATAATTCTCCAAACTTAATATTCTTCGTAGGGATAGGATTCTAAAACACTTTTCCTTATGATCCTTATGTTTTATGCAATGCGATCCTTTGTTGAAACTTGGCCGTTAATACGTCTAAGGCCTTAGCTGAGAAGGTCCCACAACTTTCACAGCCGTATCGCTCACAATTTACGAGCGTGCTCGCCGTATAGTACATTACTCTCTTTTGTTCATCAGAAGACGGAGTATGCTTTTGCGAATATCTTCTCTACAAGTGATGAAAAATTGCCTTTAAAACTATGAAGTGGCGCTTTTGTTATATATGAAGATGGAGTTTCCAAAAAAGGAAATATAAAAATCGTCGACCCTCCGAAATATCATTCGTAATTTCACTAGTGGTTTGGAACTTATCGATGAGTTCGCGAGTCGCATAGCGTCGAGTGGTATGGATAATGTTAAAAGTAACACAACATATTTCTTAGTGGCTTGATTTTAGTCGCTATATTGATCACTGCAGTTTCCGTCATGGAAGGAATATTTATTTATTTTCCAAAACAGTTGAACGTCATCTTCTGTAAAGCTAAAGCGAAAAGTACACACGTGAACTTTTCAATTTTAGGCGCTCGTGATTTGTTTATATCCGTCTTATTGCAAAACGCTGATGGCCGGATTGAAACTAATAACTTATACGGTGGAAGAGTCAAAGAGATATTACAATGGCAATAATAATTGCCAGAGGCTGATAAAATAATGCCTTTCTACGCTATGCATTGTCCACGTGAACATGCTGAAAGTTTTCTGTCGGGTGATAATAAACGCATAAAGTACACTGTGACACTATAGATTCCACGCGCACGATAATGACAACATTAATGGGAAAGACATCTCTTTAGAATGGACAATGATGTGGGGCATGGCCCCGAGCTAGCAGCCTCGGGTCGCGTGTATCGAAGATTCTTCAGTCAGAGTCTGGCTCTCCAGAAGCCCCACTGCGAATGTGCAGAACTAGCATTCGGAGAAGGCCTCAAACGATGGAATCGGGTGCCGCGATTTCCGCTCGGAGGAAACTCGGCACCAGAGTTGCGTATACTCTCTTGCCCACGGTGGGACCCGCTCGGTTTAGTGGAACACTCACAGTGCGTGTTCACGCTGCCCGCTGGTGCGAACGTTGTGGTTGGCTCCGTGTGCGGCATGCGAGGAATGGGTTTCAAAGGAAAAGTAGGGACGTCGATTTTGCGTGCTCCGCTTCTCCTGCCTAATAATAATAATAATAATAATAATAATAATAATAATAATAGTTTCTCATTACACACTCGTAGTACATGGCATGAATGGCAAATCAAATTATAAACTGTTACATCATATGACGTAATGTTATTTTATATTATTAGTACTTTATGGCAACTACAATAAAATTAGCAAAGCTAGATAAGACGTAGGGCAGAAATGGATCATTCAGATATTTTTGAACGCCACTGTACTTCTGAGAATCCTAGTACCTTCCAGCAAAACCTTGAGGTAGCTTTTCCCGCCGCAGCCATTGCCATGCGCGGGAGTCACTTCGCGCGAAACGAGACCTACTGTTATCGCAGAGGTTTCTTCCGCGGCGGCGGCGACGGAGCGACGTGGAGCAGGAACGTTGGGCGCCGCGCCGGACTCTGCACACCGGCTATTGGGCAATCTTTTCGATTGAACATCAAAAACGCGTTATTTATCCCCTTTCACGGAGGGAATAACTGAGCCACTAGTGCACTAGTATGCTCTGCCACAAAAACTGAATAAAAAATCAACCATGCAAGGTACTCCTCCACATAGCTGTGTAATTGAATTGCGCTAGATCGGAAGTAATGTTGTTTTTTCAAAAGTTCAGTTGTAAATTATTTTTAGTTTTCCACCTACTACATACTAATGTTTAATAATAACGTTTTGTAAGGTTTCAGTGGGAAGCGACAATTCTTTTTTAACAGAAAATCTCGTATTGTGGATCGTTCTAACTTCTTCTATAAGCTAAACTAGCATCAGTGCACCGCGTTGCCGGGGCATTCATCATAGGTAATACCACCAGCGCTTTTGAAATTGTCGCTAGATTCTCGACTCGCGAAGCGGTATGAAATACGACTAATCCACGAATGAAATTATGTCCAACGGAGATCCTAATTTAAAATATGCTTAGAAAGCTAATAACCATTATTAAATCAGCCAAAGATTGATGTAATTCTATAAAGATGTGTCCTCGTAGAAATAGAAAATACTGAATTTTTCAGTGCTTATCATCAACAGGAATGTGAACATTCATCAATCTCCTTGCAAAATATACACGATTGTCAATATGTATGGATTTTGTTTTGCATTCAAAGAACATTTTCTCATACTTATTAAATATGACACATTTTCACGACCTTCGCTTTATTTGTAAAGCGTGGAAATGGAATAACTAATGGCGTAAGATGTATTTCTTTGAACATTTTTCAGAAAGAAAATAAAGACTTCTGCAATGTGAATCTCCGAAAACTCGACCATATCTTGACTTTAGAAGCAATACTCATGAATATTTTTATATTAATAAAAATAATTTCAATAATTCATTTTCTATTAGCATTCTGAAATCAAAAGTTCAACATTATGAACAGAACGTATCGCTGAGCATCTCCTTTTTAAACACACGACATACTCTACGGGGAAGATCCTCGCTAGGCTGCAAATGTTTACAGAGTTCTCTCGTCAGCTCTGAAAGATGCGCGAAGTGGACAGTGTTTCCTCATCAAAGGTTCTTGCCGCCACAGATGTTCCTTTATTCATGAATGAGGGATTTGTACTATTTTGTGATTGGAAATGCTCTCATCTCCGATGTTATGAGTCAGCGCTACTTTCATGAATTACGTAACACATTCACATCGTACCCTGCGGCATTTTTGGCTTTCAACACAGGTCGAACAGTTTTTGGAAATATTCAAGGCGCTAACTCATTAATAAGAAAACATGATTTTATATATATTGCAAATAAACAATTATGCTATTTATTGTGTTAACTTTTATGTTTACATTAGAGGGAATGATGATTTCTTTAGATAAATATCACAAATTGTATCGAAAAAATTAAACTATTTCAGTGAACGTGAAACATATTTTATTCATGATACAACTAAATTATGCATACATTACATTACTCTCTAATGATATTTTCTTAAACATTACTTTTTATTCAGATTTTTTTTCCTTTCGGGTGATAGTTCTTAAAACAATTAGGCATTCACAATCTAAAACCACACCTCACACCACTTAAATGGAAACAAAGAAAACCACCAAGAACAGGCAACGAATGGAAAAATCTCGTAACCTTGGCAAAAAGTCACTACAAATTTCCGGCACATAGATTTGCCGATTTCATACTCTACGGTGACTTATCAATGCTCGTAGAATATGTTGTAGTAGTCAGTATGTAGTCTTTAACATGAAAAACAATAAAAATCAATAGGATTTTGAAATATGATACTGTTAATACTTCACGACAAAATAAGAATGACTGACAAATCTGTATCTATTCTCTGGTTTGATGGTCGGTCGAGGAGATATGTATTAAGCTGGCTGAAACACTGCAGCAAAAACTAATAAACAGAGCTCATACTTTTAATCTAATTTAAAGCTCATTTTAGGTTAATTAAATTCCCTATTCCAAATTTATAGGCTACTCAGGTTGTCTCAAATATCTATTTTCAGCCACCTATAGAACAAAGCTAATTGAAACATTTTTTTAATTCAAAAACGTATGCCATAATTCTAAGGCTCACGAAAATCGCTAACATTCTAAAGTCACTATATTTCTTGTGGGAAGATAACACCCGTTTTTTCTTATTTTTAATAATTTTCCATAGGCCATGGCGCATATTTCTACGGCATACAGCCACTGCCCAATACATGAAATAAAAGAACAATTCTACGACACGCCCATTTCTCATGAAAAAGTAATGGAGATGGCAGACACCCTGGATGATGATACACTCGACCAAATAACGACAAAGTAAGTTGTTAAGCTTAAGTTGTTTGGGTTGGCTGGTAATCGAGATTCAACAGTGTAACATTTCTGTCACTGATTAACGGTCTGTTTCTTGTAGGCTTCTTGACAAATATCCAAATACATACGTCTTCACGAAAGCGCTGGCGGAAGAAGTAATAAAAAAAGAGTGTCGTGACCTGCCCCTAGTTGTCTTTAGGCCGGCGATAGGTAAGTACATAAGTGCAAATTTCACTTTTTATTCGAATTTTAAATTTTCATTTATTTTAAATTTATTGTTATTTTCAGTTGCAATAATTTCAGTTAATTTGTTATATTTTCTTTAATTTTTAAACATAGTTTAATGTTTGATTCTTTTCGAAGCACTGAGAGCAACAATGAGGTATATGAAAATATTGTGTAATTCGATGGAATTTGCGACATTCAGGTATTGAGACTTAATATCCTCCCTATTCGCCATTCAATTGAGCGAAGTGGCTCAGAGCGTAGCGCGCTGACTTTGCAGTCAAGAGGTTCCGGTTTGATCCCAGACCCGGCCATCCTGACCGGGGATTTTCGTGGTTGCCCTCGGACATAAGGCGAATGCTAGAATTGTTAAAAAATGCCACTACCCCACCTGCCACCTCCCACCATCATTGCCCTTAATGGTGTCTTGTTTGGCTAATAATAATAATACACCATAGAAATCAAAATTAATTTAATATAATACTTAAAAAGAAATATATGGACTGGAAGTGTTGTGGAATTTCTTACTTCTACCAATTGGAACCCATGACATTGGGAGAAGATCGTAAGATCGACTCCATTCCTATTCCAAGGCATTACAGACCCATTTTAAGATGAGATCGTAATCTTCAGCTCAAGGGTAGTGATCTGTAAACCCCATACGCATGAGCGGTTCTTCTACCAAGACAGCCCAGAAACGTCAAACTGGGATGCAAACCTAATCACGAAGTCTACGTTTGGGCCCCACAAAAGCAATCAGAAATCGATGCGAATATTTTCATATAGAGAAGGTTGCATACACTACTGTAGGTCGGGGCCGGGTATCGCCTTGAAGCCGTGGAAGAGCGCGTGCACAAGACTAATGGCCTTACGTTGCAGTGGTGAGCACGCGCGACGACCCTGTGCCCGGCTGGATCGACAACTTCTACGGCCCCACGGGCGTGGGCTTCGGCGCGGGCGTGGGCCTGCTCAAGACGCTGCACTGCGACGGCCAGGCCGTGGCCAACATCGTGCCCGTCGACATGGCCGTGAACGCGCTCATCGCGGCCACGTGGGACGTGGCGTGCAACCCCAACGTCCACGACAATCTCAAAAACAACAACAACAACAAAGAAGAAAAGTGAGAGGCCCTTCAACACGCATCACTTCTTGGGTCACAACTAGTAACCAAAGCCACTCCCTTTCCATTTTATATTTTAACACCACTTCGTAAATTCAAATCAAGAACCGCGGTTTACTAGCTTAAACATTCTTGTATTTTTACCTTAAAGTAGACAATAAAACATTACTAAATTAAATTTAAATTAAAATAAAATTTTCAATATTATTTTAAGAATGTCAAATCAAATTTAATACAAAACTGCAAATACGAAATCTTATTGTGAAACCGTTAATTTTTCATAAACGCTCTGCCCTTCCCGTTCGTTCTCTTCATATTGTGTTTCGTTCTTGTCATTCCCCCTAGAAACAATCGTAGTTTGGGAATAGTAATAATAATAATAATAATAATAATAATAATAATAATAATAATAATAATAATAATACTGGTATCTAGACTTACAGAGTGCTTTGACGTACCCGCACCAAAAGACAGAACCGTACGCATTACCTGATGGCTATCGGGAAAATATAAAAGTTGTGTTATAAAATATGTGTTATTTAAAGGATTAACCTATTACCACTTCTTCCCCCCCTCAAAAAAACATTGTACCCATAGATATGATGCACGTGAGCTTTCTTTAAGTAATAAAATAATAATAATAATAATAATAATAATAATAATAATAATTATTATTATTATTATTATTATTATTATTATTATTAGTATTATCCTTATATTATTAATATGTCTACTAATAATAAAAATTAGAGGAACAAAGTAACTAACGTCGTTTTATTCTAATGAAATATTTTTGAATTAAGTAAATCGCGTTAGTTGTCAAAACATATATGCGCAATGTCACTCATGCCTGAACTTCCAACAACAATTTAACCTCGTTAAGTATTAAAAACATAATTATTTAAAGGTATTTTATTTATAATGACCTTAATAATTCAAAAATACATTAGAGATACCATTAGTAATTTTGAGCTACTTCAGAATAAAAAGGAATATCAGGTGAAAGTTTTAAATCTCGTAGCTCTATTACTATTTGCTTGAGAGTAATAATATATCAAGCAAATATGTAGAGAATTTTATGAAATTTAAAATTGTTTAGGACTATTTTTGCGCCAAGATCAATCATATAAAAGTGATTACGCAAAAACAAAAAAATGCAGAATTTTTGTTCCTTGTTTGTTTGTTTTTTGGCTACAAAAACTTTTCCCACAATATTTGGACGTGGAAAACGTCGGGTTTTCTTACTAATAACAATTTAAACAAATAAACTCTTCAACCTCACGTTTTGCAAGGGTACCCCTTGTGGCTCTCCATCGTCTACACTAAACTCCTAATCAACCGCTTCGTAAAATACTTGTTACAGTCGTTGTTTGCGATCATCCCAACTCTTGGTTTCTATTTGGTGCGGGTAAATCTAGACATCTAGAAAAGGCAGAACTGAATACTTTACACGAAAATGTTTTGACTATAATTACCCAAATATAAGTATTTTGCAAGATTAAATGTCAGTAATGGACAATATATAATAGAGAAATATGATTCTTATATTGTTTCATTTTCAGAGACGCCAGCTGCGTTCCCATCTACAACTATGTCTCGTGCTGCGACATGCCACTAACTTGGAACGAATTTAAGGAAATGAATGAGAAATATGGAATTCCCGTTCCGACAGTTCATTGCATTTGGTATTACTCTTTCCGACTTTGCAACAACCGTTATATTTACCTCCTGCAGGCACTTTTTCTACACTGGTTGCCAGCACTTCTGATGGATTCCATCCTCTTTGTGTCACGTAATAAGCCCAAGTAAGCATTCTCTTCTAAAAATGCAATACAAAATCCACGACCAAAATGGGGACTTGCACACTGGAAGAATAACTTAATTCTCCAGAAAATTGAACGAAAATCTATTTAATATCGAATTTGTTATCTGAGCAAAAAGTGCTGATATCTGATCAACTTAATACTATTCCAATTGGGGAAATATGCCAATATGTATGCATTTTATAAAGTCAGAAGAAATAACCAACCAAACTTTGAAAAGATGAAGTGCAACTCCTTATTGTTGGGAATTCTCCTTGTACCTTTAAATGCACTAAATTATCACTCTAATGAAATATTAATTGTGCTTTTAAGGATGATAAAAGCATACCAAAAAATTCATCGCTTCTCTAATGTTATCACCTACTTTTCTACTCAACACTGGGATTTCACTAACCAAAATGTAATTGAGTTATGGGATCGACTCAGTAAAGAGGATAAAAAAATGTTTGACTTTGATATGAAAAAACTGGACTGGGATAAATTTTTTACTAACTACATTTTGGGATGTCGTATTTACATTCTCAAAGATGATATCTCCACTCTTCCTCAAGCTCGCATCAGATGGAGAAGGTAAAAACCCAGAAAGAATATTCATTTGAATATACATATTACTTTTTACTTACCATGCAATTAATATATTGTTGTAATATTTCAGGTTCTATTGGGCCCATCAAATTGTGAAATTAGCTTTTACAATCTTACTACTAAGTTTAACATGGCAAGTCATATCATTTGGAAAAGATCTCTTATTGACTTGAAGAAAACTTAACTTTTATGTATTAAGTAAAAACATAACTTTATTTATCTTTTAATACTGAAAGTAAAGACACAAAACCCACTTCCTCAAGATTCAATTGAGATCATCAGTTAAATGGACTTAAAGATCCACAAAAAATATTGGTTAATGAGACACAATGTAGCTATTTTTCATATATTCATGAGTGAATTGAAACAGCTTGCAAATCTCAGGCAATTCCTAAGATTCAAATTGTTTGAAATGACATTTATAGTGTATTCACAAGAATTTGAATTCTGAATTAGTTCATAACAACTTTAAATAATGTCAATGATTTTTTTCTTAATGTTATTTTGCTTATTAGAATGTTATTGTATAATTTCCGATAATGTTAATAATAAATTATTAAACAATTTTAATGCAGTTTGCTTGACTTTTTCCCATACTATATACACCTTGAAATAAAAAAACAATTGGTATATATTTTCTTATATCCAAATTTAATCCAACTTCTCATATTTTGATACTTTCTGTAGGACAAAAACATAACTACATATAAGATTATCCTTTGTTCTCTACAATAATAATAGTAATTTTTATTATATTGTTTTGAAAATTTCACACCAGTCCGGAGTTTCCAGATATAACTCAATGTCAGACCGTCAACACATATGGTGAGACAGATGGTGAGAAGTTCTTGCTCCAGTGCACTCGGGTTCCTCTCCAATGACTAAGAGACAATGATCTTACGCCCAATATTAGTGAAAGCCAGCAACACCGCCTTCTGCATGGTTCTGAAGTGCCATTCATTTAGATGAAGTTTCTCTTTCACAATCCTCCAATCTTCAGCAACAAGCCCATTAGTTGAAATAACAATGGGTCTAATATCTACCTCTATTAGATTGTACAGGTTTTTCACTTACTGAGAGTGGCTGGTATTTTCTTTCGGTGGAACTTCGAGGATGATGCATCCGATATTTTGATAGAAATGTTCTAACTTTTCTATCGAAAACTTGCAAAGCAGTGTCAGACCACTTGACAACTCCAAATGTAAGTTATGCTGCTGAGAGAGCCCAGGTGTTAATTCCTGTAATTGTTTCTCGAATTAATACAAGTCTTGTAGATTTTCGTAACACGAGAGAAAACCTTTCTTTCCACTTGTTTTCTTATTTTATCATCTGCGTTTCCTAGGAGCAGCTGGAGGCCCAGATTCGTATATTCATCGCCATTGAAGAGTCCTTGAATTATCAACTCTTCCATCAAATTATATTCATTTTCTGTATTGTGAACCTCTCTTTACGGGAAGCACTGCACACTTCTCCAAACCAAAACCCACACAAACAGCGCTGCTGAATCATTCAACAAAAAAACAACGTACGCTTTACTTTCTTTGTAAACATCATAACGTATCACCCGGTTTCCATGTCTACTTCCGAGATTACAAAAGAATTTTAAGAAAAGTAATAGTTCAGTCAAAAATAATGAGAAATAATAAGAATATTTGGAACGCTAGTAACAAAACTGAAGCAATGTGAAATATCGTAAAAAATACGACCACGTCATCTCGTTACTTAGTAGAGAAGTTAGTAATCCGAGAGAAGAAGTAATCCGAAAAAATTGGCAAATCTATTCAACCAACACTTTTCGACACGATGTTTATTTCCGAAACTTCATCTAACGAAATCCTGAGATAGTCCGTAAACTAAAAAAATTAATACTCATTTGGTTTAGATGAATTTCCGGATTGTTTATTGAAAACTTGTGTACCTGCTTTTATACATACTGTTACGAATATTGCATCACATGCCGAAATTCGCTGCGCGAGGATTGCGTCATCTGCCGGCGCCCCCCCCTCGTCAGTAGGGGAGTAAGACGTAGTGAGTAGAGAGAAAGCAGTCCCATCCGTTCCCATGTGTCCGAAGTGGAAGCTGTGCCTTGTGAAAATGGCATTGCGCGTTTTGAAAGAGTGTGCAGCGGCTGAACAGCAGGCAGCAGTCTGAAGTCTGCAGTGGAAGCTGAGCTGTGTGAAGGGTGCATCGCGGTAAGCGCAGTGGAGCAGTGGGAAACAGCAGTCAGCAGTTTGAAGTGCTGCAGTGGAAGCTGAGCTGTGAGTGGGCATCGCGGTAAACAGCAGTGCAGTGCGACTCTGAGTGTGCGCAGTGAAGTGTGTGGCGTCTGCGCCAAGGAATTGTGGTCTGCGCAGGGGAATTGTGGTCTGTGCAGCAGATTGGGTCAAGTGTGCCAGTGGACCCGTGCGACAGTGCATCGAACTGGCTGATACTGTAGAAGAAGAGAACGGTTTGTTGCTTGAAATAAAATAGCGGTGTAAGAAGTGAACTGTGTAAATAAGCCATCAGAGAACGGAATTCGTGGTGTAAAGAAAAAATAATTAAGTGCTAATATTTGTAAATAGACAAAGTATATTTAGTGTATGAGTCTTCACAATAAACCTTCTTTGTTTAAATATGTG